TATTATAATAATTAATTATAAAATTCACTTTAATATCTAAAAATATCTTACTAATTAAAGAACTTTATTAAACTTTAAAAATATAATGATAAAAGAAGAAATTTATTAAGTTTTAATTTAAAAAATTATAGAAAATCAGATATTTTTGATTACTATTATAAATATATTATATTCAAAAAAATTAAAATTAAATATAAGATTATAATTATAATAGATTTTTAATATATTTTTAATAAAATTTTGAAATTAATAATTTTATATAAATTTAATAATATTATCAAATTTCTTAATATAAAAAAACTTGAATTTCTAATAAATATTAAGAGAATTTAATATAATAAATTTTTTATTATAGTAAAGAAAAAATTCTAACTTAATTAATATTTTTATTATATTATAACTAACTTATATATATATATAAGATTTATATTAAATTTCTAATCATATAATAATTAATTAATAAAAATATATCAATTATATATAAATTAATATTTATTAAAAAATTATTTTATTATTATTTTTTATAATATTTTCAGAATAAATTTTGATATTTGTTTTCTGTAATTTTTTGAATTTTAACTTTTTTTATTTATATAAGTAAAGATTTTAATTAAGCTAGTTATAATAAAAAAAGATATAATTTTTAAAAAGTTAAGTAATTAAATTATATAATTAATTATAATAGAAAATTTAAAAATAATAAGTAGTTATCAATAAAAATTAAGTAAATTACTTTAAAAAATTTTTATTAATAATTGCTTATAATATCTGACAAAAATTTTTTATATTTCTAACTTAATAAAGATATAGTAAGAAAAAGATTTTTTTATTTTAAAAATATATCTAATTATATAAAAAATTAATATATAATATAATTATTCTTAAATTTTATTAGAAATTCTATATAATATTTTTGATATTTTATATTTTTTACTAAATTAGTTATATATTTCTTAAATAATCAATTTTATTTTTTTCTATTTTATCTTTTAAAATATTAAATATTTTTTTTATTAAATTCATTTTCATAAGCTTTTAGATATTCTTAATTAGATTTTAATTAAATAATATTAATAATTAAAAAAGAATTTTGATATTATTTTTTTCTTTTATTTTTTAAATATTATTTCAGATTATTATTCTTTTATAAAATTTAATTATCATAATTTTTGTTAAAAAATCTATAAGAAGAATTATTTATATAGAATAATTATATATTATATATTAAGATTATATATAAAATATAGGATAATTATATATTATATATTAAAATTATATATAAAACAAATTAATCTTTTAAAGTTTAAAAAAGAAAAATAATTTATATATAAATTTTTAATAAATACTTAATAATATGAATTATTTTTCTTGTTTTAATAAATTATTAAGTTTTTTTAGTTATTATTTCAAGTAGAAAATACTTTTATTAGTAAATATTATGAAATTCTAATAAAATTCTTATATTACTTTATTTATATAAAATATTTTTTTCAATATTTTTTTAAGCAAAGACTTAATAAAGATAAAATTTACTATTATAAAAAATTTATAAAGATATCATTAAATAATATTTATGTAAATATCTATATTTTATTTAATAATTTATAATAAATTTCTGAAACTGTAATATCTTTATTTTTTTTTGTAAAAATCTATTTATCTTTTTTTTTAAATAGTGATATTTTGATGATTTAATCTTGATTTATCACTTAAATCTTTGCTTTTTTACCATCTTTTTATCTATTATATTGTTATTTTTTTATTATAATAAATTTTTTTACTATTTTATATATTAAAAGCTTAAATTCTTTAAATAAATAGTTAAAAAGATAATTTCATATTGTTTATATAAAAAAAAGCTATTTTTTAAATGAAAATTGGTATATAAGCAATATAAGCATTTTTATTATCTAATCTACTTAAAGAAGATTAGTATAATTTATATATAGGATATACTATATATATATATGAAATTTTATACTTCTATATATGATCTTTTGAAAATTATAAATATAAAAAACTTTATTAGAAACTATATTTATTTATTTTTGAAAAATAGCTTATATTTTGAAACTTTATAATAAAATTACTTTTTATATTCTAATAAAAAATATTTTTTACAAAATATTAAATCTGTTTAAATAGTAAATAATATAAAATAAAAATAAATTATTATATCTAATATTTATTAATTAAATAAAAATAAATTAATAAAATATTTACAATTAAAAAAAGAATAATTGCTTAGATTAATAAACTAGATTTAATTTATATATTGTTGATTTATAATTCAAATAAAAATCAAAATAGAACTCTAGCACAAAAATCTCAATATGCTACTATTTATTTTAATATTAATAAAAGTAAGCTCAATAGTAAGTAGATTAATAAATTTATATATAGTATAAGTTAAGTAACTGTTATTATACAAATATAACTTAGAAATTATCTGAGAATTTTATTTATACTAATATATTTAAATTAATAGAAAATATAAATAAAACTCTAATTATATTTGATTTTTCAAATAATATTATGCTTAAATTAACTAGAATAAATATAATTTCTATTTCTATTTATAAAATATAAAAATTATATTTATAATTTTTTTACCTGTATAACAGATGATATAAAATTCAAGCCTCAAGTTAGTAAATATTTTATAATAAACTTTTTTTTAATATATATAAATTCTAATAATAGGATAAATTGAATGAGTTTTAACTCGATGATACAGATGTTTTTGTGTTGATAATGAAAAAATAATGTCAAAGATCAATGAATTAAAAGCATCAATTTATATCTATCAAGCGAATTTAATATTGAATTCCATTAAATAAGCATCTTTTCATTACAAATGGAAAGTAAATTTCAATTTTTGACCATGTGCAGAATAATATTGCATGAAAATTTATAATTGATTACAAATTCTGTTTTCATTCCTTATATAGATGGTAAGTGAATATACGTGCATTGGCAATAGGAATTTTTTCCATTATCTTCATTGTGATCTTATGCGTGTGAATTGTAAACTATAATCTTGTACTATATAAGGATTATAAAATAACAACATAAATAATCAAAATAGAAATGAAACTGTGTTTTTAACTTCTTGTTAGAATAAACAGAACAGATTCTGCGAGCATCATGTGAAAAAGTAGTACATGTATATGCATGTAAGTCAGAAATATGAAAAAGTAGTACATATGTACATGTACATCTAAATATTATTGAAAATGGTACATAACGTATATGTACGTTTCTTTCTTATAAATAAAGAATCTTTTAAACTCACTAAAAAAAATAATAAAATACATAACTTCAAGACATATCACAAAAATGAATTTCGAATACATAAATCGCTTCCTCGCATTTTTGATTGTCACTCTGTTTTCATCCATAGTTGTTGCAACACCAATTCCTAAGTTCAAAAGAGATTCTGGTGCTGCAGGTGCCGATAATGACCTTATCATTGTCGATACCACTGGAGGATAAGCGTACCAACTGATCTTTGCGGAAATTCTAATGATATTGTTTGTGTATCAAATCCTATTGCTGGTAATGTTTGTGTTGTAAATGGTTAATAACTACATAGAGCTATTAAATTATATTGTTTGAAAATAATGATTTCATCAAATACATGTGCATGTACAATTAACAGTTTATATTAAGACGAATTCTAATAATAATAGGAAGAATAACTACGCATAATATGTAATTTGCTTGTACTTTTATTAAATATTTCTAATAAGTAGATAAGTAGGTAATTATATAGAATTTAAAAAGGCGATGTTTACATTACATATATTTCATTCACAAAATTATTAATAAAATTATTGATCATCCTTAAATACTTCTGGCAAATATGATAATTTTAAATATAAAATTTTGAAAAAGCCTTTGTGAACTTTCTACATTTTGGTATCAATCTCGAAATTGATACAAATATTAGCGATAACATTTGTTGCAAATAATTATAATGTGCAGTTTGAATAGAAAGGATCAACAATAAAACTCATCTTGTATATAGTGTCGTCTATATCCTAATAATTGAATTTCATTTGTAGATTCCTAGTTACAAGTCCCAATATGCTTGGAAAGATATTAGACAGAAACGCGTAATCATCAGCTCACCTCAGTGTGTGATGCATTTATAAGTAAAACACAAGTTAACAGATGTTATTGACTATTCAATAAGTATATCTTGTCATCTATGTATAATTTGCTAAAATAGTATACGTTGAAAAAAGATTCCAAGCTCTAACTTATAATACTTTAGGTGCTTCTTCCTATTGCAGTGCTTTTTATAAATAAATAATACGAACTGTATATAGAAAAAAACTGGTTGAACTCAACATATGTTTGCAGTCACATTTTGATGAACATTTTTAAAGTGAAAATTGCTTTTTAGTTCCGATAAAATCAAATTTTTTATGTTCTCAAATGCAGTTGGATTATTATGGAATAACTCAAAACCCAATTACGAATAAACGTGAATGCTCAATAGTGATCTAACAAAAATTCACAGTGAACAGTCTGTATATTATTAATGCGTAATATTCCTCAAGTTGCTAACTTTGGACTTAACATTCCAACGAATATAGAAAAATCTAACCAAGAAATTTATGGAGTACTTCCTTATTTGAATCCAGAGGTACTGAATGAAAAGTCATACATTACTGCTGCTACAGATGTTTGTAGCTTTGGAATGGTTAAGTACGAAGTTATTACGGGGCAAATGACATGTATAAGGATGAAAAATCTACTCTTATACATCTTAAAATATTCTTAAACTTTTAAACATTAGATTTGTTATCTCTTATTAGACTTTGCAATACTATGTAAATGGAATTGAAGGAATACATTTTTTGATATTAATAATTATGTGCCCAGCCTATTTATCCAAATTGCCAATTTCATCCAAATTATCGTAAATTTGCAAGCATATTTCTTCAAAAACATTATTGATACAGCACTTACTAAGATTCATCTTTGATAAAATGAACCAACCTTTGCAACAGCCATCACAACAATTACAACCTTTACCAATACATGTCAACATGGTGCGGTATATTATTGATGAGCCGCTTTCAACGATTATACGACGATTACTCCAAATCAAAATGATACTTCGAGTCTATTATTTGAAACTTATAGTAGATAAACTCAACTTTCTTGTTGTTGTTTTGTTCTGTTCTGTTCTATTTTCGATTATAAGTTTATTTATTGATTCTTGACATTCATAAAAGATTTGAATCTCCTAATAATATCATAATATCTCGAAATAAAAATAAATTCTTTGGCTAATGATGTAATCACGAGCTTCAGATATTATATCTTCATTATCCTTTTATCTATTCCTATACTTTATATAATTTACGTTTTATATTTTTGTATTTAAATTTTCTAGGATCTTTACTACTGATTAGATGTCATTGACGCATATTATTGGGACTTTTCAGTTTTGACTGAATTGGACCGTATTCAAATCTCGATATACGATTATTTAAAAATTCCCAACACACGTAGTGTTATTATCCATGTATACTATCATAATGGCTTTTTTCGATACTGATATTATTAAATAAACTGAATTTATTTTTGAATCCAAATATTATTGGCTAATAAATATACAGTGGCTTACGGAAGAAATGCAACACAAAAAGTTTTAGGAAAAAAATTTTAGTGTCTCCCAACATCGGTTAAATTTACTTGGTTCCTATACTCATTTTAAAGCTGATAACCTAGAGAATCTCTTAGAAGCTTAAAAATATATTAAAATTGTTATTCTAAAGAAATTAGGTGATCTACATGAATAATTTTAATTTGTGAAAATTTAACTCTAAATATTTTTGTTATCAGGGAGGATTGAAGCGGATGACCTAATAAGAAATGTACCTCTTAATGAGAATTATCTACATAATAATTATCAGCTAATTTATACAAATTCGTTTAGTTATTTGCTCCCGAGTACCAGATATATGCTAGTAAATAATCCAATAATTTTTTTGCAAGCATTCATTGGTACTACGGGATCAAATAACTAAACGAATTTGATATAATTTAACTGAAAATTGATAGTTAATAAAATTTTCATTAGGAAACTCATTTTTTGTTAGGCTAATCCGCTTCAATCCTTCCTAGTAACAAACCTATTTGGAGTTAAAATTTCATTGATCAAAATATTAATATAGATCACTCAATTTCTTTAGAATGTCAACATTGATATTTTTAGCTTTTTTCAGACATTCTCTAGGTTATTAACTTTAAAATGAGTATAGGAATCAGGTATATTTAATCGATATTGGGACACACTAGAACCTTTTTCGTAAACTTTTCGTGTTGCATTTCTTTTGTATGCATATTATGAATTTATATGCTAGCATAGATAGAAAAAAAGGTTTCTCATGTTTGATATACTCGGATGCACTTCTATAATTTTATTTATGTTGTTCATATAACGAACTCGTCCCCTCGATGAGCGTATATTCATAAAGAGCCTAGTTATGTGGTATTTTAGAAAATTTTAATATCAAATTACTTTTAAACAGTCTCTTTTATTTATGAAAATGAATTAAATATACTTTGCTATTATTTAACTTCTAAATGAATTTCTAAAGTTAGTGTCTCTTACGGAGATAGGTGATATAAAAATTTTACTCACTTTAAAAGAATATATATTTGGAAGGATATTCTTTTCTTGAATTATATCTGCCGCCAGTTAAATATTATTGATGTTTTCACATGTACATGTAATTTATCTGAAGTTAGCATATTACATGTATTCATTGCTTATTTATTTTTAATGGTCATAGTCAACAACAAAAGAAGACCTGTATTAGATGTTTAAATAGATAAACTATCCTTATCGTACCATTTAAAAAAATTTCAATTAATACAAGAGGAAGTATATAAATTAATTTTTAAATAACAAATAATTATGGAAGAGAAGGTGACAATATAATATTTAATTCAAATAACCTATAATCTATCCATGCTCTTATAAATATGGTACAAACTTGTATATTACCATTATTTACCAAAATAATTTTGCTCCTTGAACTTTTAAACCTAACCTCTTATGATAGTGGAATAATGCATGAAAAATTAAGAAATAATACATATGAATAACTGCTTTACACCCCTTTACTGTGTAAAAGAATGGTTATATTTCATCACAATAATATTATATTCAGATTTAACAATATCAATGCAGTATAATTGTCGTTCTCTATGTCATAGAAAATAAAAGAGAAGATGTAAAAGATGGAAACAAAGGAAATCAATTAAGAGTTTCTATACAAGTTTGCTTCCTGTTGAAATTTCTACCTGTAATACATATCGTACGATTTTTAAAATAGGGATTTATGCAGAGCGGTAAAAACGTAATCCATCATGTGAACCGAGTGGTTGATGTGCACTTAATTAGGGATATTGATTCTCCGATTCTCCGAGGAATGAATAAAACAATTGTCAAAGAGAAATTCGCTGTATGATAACATAACTAATTTCAACCAAATAAAAATTTAGAACAATTATAATTACATTAATATGTTTTGACGTCACATCCATTCCACACGTAATTATGTAAATGCGCCGCTTAGCAATCAACTTTATGGATCACTAAATTTTCCTCATCAAATAACGTTGATATTTCTCGTCTCAATTATCGAATTGGTAATTGGAATAATTCACTGCATATCGGATTAACTGATGGATCAGTTTTTGGAAGACGTATAATGAAAATATTAATGATCAAGAAAAGCTAAGTTCAATTAGTGATATATAAAAAAACAGAGTTTCAGGTAATTATTTCGGCGCATAAATGATCGATTTAGCTTGACCAAGTAAATTGAACGCATCATTTACATTCATCTGTCAATATCAATCATGAGGTTTTTGCTCGAAAAACATAAGAAGGGAAGGTCTTCTCAGAACTTATAATATACGTATTATTTTCAAGGAACAGGCTTATTTAGCGTAAAGCAATCTGTTTATTATTAAAATGGTTTCCAGTCTTCTCGATACGAGTGATCTGATTGGCCAAGCAAAATTGATGTTACATGAAATAATGTATTTAAATGCTAATTAAATCATTCCATATTTTGACGAATCGACATCAGATGAAAATAAATCATAATTTATTAGTCAACTTATATTAGTATACTTTATCTATTACATGTAATTATTTGCATTATTATTTAGGAATAATCTTAAAGCCAGTGACGGACGATAAGATCCAAGTTGAAATTATACAAACATAAAATTGCTGTCGACGAGAACACAACCTTCGGATCATTGATTGTCTTTGCCACTAATAAAATAATGCCACGAAGGAGAATGCTGGTTTGTGATTCGTTCCATTGATGAAACATTAGAGTATATACCTGAAAATTTGGTAAAAGAAGTGATAACACGTCGACCTTCTTGTCACGTTGAAAATATTGATCTTAATTGATTTCGAGCATTTTTGATCACCTCAATTCTTATATGATTTCTTGAATAAATGAAACTCTTGTTGTGTGTTTATTATTGATACCACTCATATTTGTATTCATTTTCTAATTTAATTATTCATTTTTCTATATTCTTCACTTTGCTGCAAATAATAAAAGATAAATTCAGATGACAAAAAGTAATGAAAAAAAGGTAATTACATTAGTCATGGAAAACCTCTGTGCTAAATGGCTTTATATTTCACATTTTATGCAAATAAGTAAAGTCATATCAAATAATCTTATGGTGTGACTATAAATGTTGACCTTAATAAAAAAAAAGAAAATTATATGAAAAATATCTGATTTTAATATTTATGGAGGGTTATTCACTTATACCAATTCTTGTTATTATATTTCGCACTAGTAATCCATGATAATAACATCCTTTCTATTATATACTATTGAAAATATGTCTGTCATAATCAATTGTTTATTCTCAATTTAAAAATTTTATTCTATTTGCATCAAACTTCTAAAAATGGAAAGAAGGAGCTCGTTTTTGAAAAATTCATGTAGCATAACACATACTGATTTAAAAAAATATATAACAAGACTGAATAGAATTTTTAAGAAATCCTACTATAGCCATAATAACTCATTTGAATTATATGATTTTCTTGATAGAGATATGACATAGTAATCTTGATACAGCGCAATAATGTGACATAGCAACTGTGACTTAATGATCTGTAAAAATAAGAATTAATATAACAAGATTATAAAAAGATAATGAGATAGATTTAATTATTTATTATAAAAGAATTTCATTTATTATTTAATATAAATTTAAACTATTGCTAGTAATAGTTTCTATAAATGAATAAATTTGCTAGTACTTTAGATTCCAAATTAATTTTTGAATCAGTCTAAAAATGTTGTTCAAATTTTTATATAATTAAATTACTAATAAATTTTTGTTCAAGCTGTTCAAAATTTTTCAAGTTTCAATACTATTTAGATAATGAGTAAGAATTTTTATTTCAAATACATTATATATAGTTAAATCTTTCAATAATTATATCTCTTTAAAATTACTTTTTCTATAGTAATTCTTTTTGAATTTTTCAATTTATGATTAAAAAATCTCTTTATAATCAAATTATTTTATAATTATTCAATTTTGTCTTTCCAAGTATAGTAATTATAGAGAGATTTAAATATACAAGACTTAATATTAATTTTATAAGTACTTGTAAAAAATTAATATATTTATGTACCAAAAAAAATTCAATTTGAAAAATTTATTCTTTATACAAAGAATAAAAAAGTAATTAATGAGTTAATTTTTGAAAGAATAGAAATTGAAGAGATTATAATATAAAAATAACTAATAATTAAAGGAAGAGTTAAAATTTGTAATTTAAAAATTTAAATAAATAAATAAATAATCTATTTATTTTTAAATACTGATTAGAATTTAATTATGTAAATATAAAAAAATGGAGCAATTTTTATATTCAAATAATTTTTATATTAAAAAAGATTTTATTAAAGATAAAATTAATTTTAATTAAAATAAAGTGAATATATATGTAAATCTATTTCACAGATATTTATTAAAATAATTTTAATAATGAATTAATTGACAGATTGATATTTAATAATTTTAATAAAAATTTTTTTATATATAAATAGTTTTTTATTATATGTATTAGTATATATGAAATTATTTTTGATAATAAAGAAATATTTCAATTAGAAAATTCAAAATATATATCCTATTTGACATTATTAAAATACTGAATAGAAATTTAATTTTATAAATAATAATAATGAAAGTTTATTTTAATGAATTTATCTATTAATAAAGCGAATTTTATTAAAGGAGAAATAAATGATAATATTATTGACATCAGTTTTTATGTCACATAATATACGCGAAGTTTACAGTTTACATGTCATAAGAAATATCTCAGGGGTCCGAAGCCATGTTTGACAACCGTTTCACCCCATAGACCACAAGGGAACAGATAACACGCAATTGGGTCATCCCTCTACCATGTAATAAGTATATCTCTTTGATATGTGGTCTCCTTAATTGCAAAGAAGCAATAATATCTCAGATCCACATAGTAAAATATAAAGTTTGTTTCTTATTCCCTATCTTTTCTTTATAAGTTAAGACAATATAAAAACTATAAAATAAGAAAATAAAAGAAATATAATGAAAATATATTGGTAGTATATTGAATGTAATTACTATTTATGAATGGGATTTAATAATAAGGGTCAATATATTGATATATTAAGGTAACGCTTGTCTGATATAGAAAGTTATTTTGTTTCCATAAATATAAAAATAATAAACCAAAAAATATCGGTAGTGTTCGATCTGAATTTAATATTTTGCCACCACTAGCTAAAATATATATGAAAAAATTAATCATGAGGCTGTTTCCCGCATGGGAGCATTAAATCCTAACAGGCACTGATACCAATCGAAAGAAAATAAGATATTAGTAAATAAGTTAACTAATATATATATATATATATATATGATGTTGCATTTTTCATTATACGCATTGGCATTTTATTTGACAGCAGTGGAACCAACATCATTAATATCGAGAACTATTATTACTTTGCATGTTTGATACTTCATTCCAAGATTCTAATAAAGAATATATAAATGTCTCAATTGTTAAAATTGTTTTCAGAAATTTGATAATTGTTCTATTTCCTCATGTCCTCATGCTGAGCATCATAAACACCGTTGCTAGGGGTTACACTTGGCTCCGGAATGATTATTGTTGTTGGTATTGGTGATTTAGCGGGAGGAATTGAAGCAGATTGATTATCTTCACGTATGAGACTAATTTCGTGTGATATACTAATATCGTAATCTGCTATTTATCACCAAAGAAAAATATTAAATTAAGAAAAGTAATAAAGAAAGAATATCAAGTGTAAATTTATCTTCACTTGGAAGATTGAATATCAAAATAAGTGTACATACCTGTAGCAGTTGGAATTGATATTAATTTCGAAGTAAAAATTCGATTGGTGTAAATTGCATTTGAGTGGATTAGTTGTTTTTTGTATATATTCACGGGAATGCTTTTTTGTAATTTCATTTTCACAAACTCTTTAATTTTCGTAGGAATGCTTTTTTGTGATTTTTTTAATTTTTCTTCAAGCTTCTCAATAGTTGGTCTGTTTTCTGGAATAGGATTCCAACATTTTTCAATAGTAAATTTGCACCACCCGTGAATATTTTTCGGTATTGTAGGTCATATTCCTTTATAGATATCGCATACCAGATTTTTATCATGATTCCGCTTATCAAATGGTCGTTCACCAGTTACAATCTCGTACATGACCATTCCAAAACTATAAATATCTGCAGCCTTAGTGTATGGCTTTCCACTTAATATTTCTGGACTCATATAAGGAAGTATTCCGTAAATTTCTTGATGTTTTATGTCTGTCGGGTCGGTAAGGCCAAAAATTGCGATGAAAGCATCAATATGTAATAATATATTTCCAGGGTGAAAGTCACTATTCACAAGTCTCTTTGCGTAGATTATTTTTAGTGCATAGATAATGCACAATAAGTATTCTAATTTTTCTTTCCAAGTCAATTCTTCATAGTTGGAACTAATACATTTGCGAATGTCGCAATTAATATAATTGTTGTCGTAAAAGTTGTAAAACTTTAAATTATATTTTTCTGGATAACCCATTACTATCGAGTATTCATTTGTAGTTGGGTTTTTAGTTATTCCATAATAGTTTATTCCAAAGTAATCATCACTGTACTTTAGAACAGTCCGAATCTATTGTTGAATAGTTTAATTATATTAAAAAAATGTCTTGTTTGCACATCAAAAATTGCACAATTTCTTTTACCTCTTTCATAATTTGATTTGAACCACGTAATTTCAACAAAACTGATCACTCAAATTTATATTCTCTGTGATGCCACTTGTAATAGTATATTGATGCTTTATAAATACCTTTTGAAAGATATTCAATATTGGTAAATTTTTCAAAAGAGA